TCCTAGATTTGAAAATATAAGTGCACCTTTAAGCGTCTTTTAAAGATATCGTTACCTCAAGTAAAAATCTATAATTAAAAACAGAAAAAAAGTGCCCAGGGCTATTCTGAATATAATTTGGAATTAATAACAAAGATTAAGTCAAGCTAGAACGCGGGCTTAATGATTTTAATTTTTGACAACACATTTATTTTATATAAATATAATAATGTTTATTTTAATAATCTAATTTCTATAAGCTAAAAATTAAATTTTGTCAATTTTCCGTCCGCGTGACCTAAAATTAAAATATACATTTTATGTATTTAAAGTTTAAATAAATAATATGCAATTTTTTTTTATATACATCGGAGTTCCACGTCAATTCGGCGCAGCGTCAATAATTATTTCTTTATATTTTTTTTACAAAAATCTCAATTTTATTTATTAAATGTGTAATATCAATAAAAAATTTAATAAAATCAAAAAAAAATTAACAACCAATATTTATACCGATTTCTTTGATGTACCAATTTACCATATTATAAAGTATGTTGATTAGTAGCCAATATTATGTAACCCTGGAGAATTTGTGCATAGAAGAAAAAAAGAAAGCTTTGGACCTCTATCTTTAATCTTAGATATTATTTTGGCTAAAATCATAATCGACCGTTTTTAAAAATAAGCCCAAATCGGCCTGACGAATTCATGCGCAATTTTTTTTATTTATTTATATTATAGGTATTGAGATTATAAATATACTAATTGAAAATAAAATTATAAATTTCCAGCGTCATTAAATATGAGAAATTTAACATTCCAATTATCATGGATGAAAAAATATAAGTGGCTTATCATGACATTAACTTAAAAAATCAAAAAAAGAAACTAAGAAGATTTTGTCCTATTAGATTTGTTGAAAGACAAGAGTCGGTGAAACTCTATTGAACTATATGATGTTGTATTTGCAGCACTGAATCTTTTGCGGGCTATTATTAAGCCGCAATTTTTAATATCTATTCATTGTGTTTATTTTTTATTTAATTATACATATTATTTTAGCAAAATGCTACAAAAAATTGATTTGGATTTAAGGGAGGTTATGAATAGAGCAAAGGATATTGTTGAAATATTAACAAATATTAGAGAGAATGTGGATAAAAATTTCATGAAATATGAGAAAGTAAAGGAGATTGCTAATATGTTTGGGATTGAGATTTTTAAACCTAGAGTAGTTTCTAGACAATCCAATTGGTCAAATATTGATGCATCTAAGATTGAGGATTTTTATAAAATAAACATTTTTATTCATCTTATTGATACATTTTTATTTAAATTAAAGGAGAGATTTATTAGTCATATTTTTATTTTAAAAGGCGTTTTTTTTTCTTTTGCCGGTTGAGTCTAAACTGTTGATTACGCTTGAAACACGAGAGGATATTAAAAAAATTTCAATATAGTAGGCTCATATGATAAGTTACTTTGTGATGTCTGATTTTCGTAATCATGACAGAATAGAGTATTCTTTGTGACAAAACAATGCTCTGCAAATCCTTTCCATGTGTAATTGCACTTTAGGTTCCCGATATCAAAACATTATTAATTATTTTAGCCTTCATTACCAATTCGTACTTGCACTAATGAAAGGTCTTTTTCAATTTTAAAAAGATCAAAAACCTTTTAAGAAATACTACCGGTGAAAAATCTTTGGATTAGCCCTATTAAATATTTATAAGGAGATTATTCTAGATAAAAATTTTATTCTAGATGAATTAGCAAAATCTCAGAGAAAAGTAGACCTCTCTTTATAAATTCAAATCAAAATATTAAACGACCGATTTGGGTCTATTTTTAAAAACTTAGCCAAAATAATATGTATACCGTATAATGTGATAAATTGTCCACCAAAGAAATCGATATAAATATTGGTTGTTAATTTTTTTTGATATTATTAAATTTCTTTATTGATATTACACATTTAGTAAATATAATTGAGATTTTTGTAAAAAAATATAAAGAAATAATTAATAGGACTAACATTTAAATGACTTTTATTTATTCATCCTTTTTTTATACTAATAAATTTATAATAAATTGCAGCTGTACTAGGTACGCGGCGAATTGTCATCGAGCTGAATTGACGTGATACAATACATCGGAGGGATTTAACAATCTGTGTTTTATATAGATAACGTTTTTAATAAATTTGCCAGAATCATTCCAGCACATATGAATCAGGCTCTTTCCTTGAACTGTTGATTTACCTTTAATTTTTATATGTAGATATATTTTTAAGAATTCATGAGCCAGGTAATTTATAATTCCTGCAAAATCAGGTTTATCAATATTATGAAAGGCGGGCTATAAATGGTCATGCTAAACCTCTATGACACATATTTTTTGGTTTACATTTGCTGTACCTTATTTTAACCTTTTATATTTTTTTTATTGGATTTAAAATGTCGGGAGCACAAAGAGCCCGAACAAAAAAATATCCCAATTTTAATTTTAAACAAATATTAGAAAATCTTTTTTTTATTTAATTAATGAAATGGGATTATATTTGTCCTATACATTTATATCATGATTTTTTTGTCCACCATTATTTTTAAAGTTTGGAATGCTCTTCAATTCAAAAATCTTCAAAGATTTTGATCGCTGAACTTTTTTTAAAAAAAACTCAAGTTTATTTGATTAAAATAGTTTCTTATAAAAAATCTTTAATTATGAAATCGCAAATTTTTTTTGATCTTCATAAAAATTTTGACAAGAAAACCTTTTAGGATTTTCGAACTCTGATTTTTTTCATGAGAATATTTTATGTACTTATTTCATGTCCATACCTAATAGATTGATAAAACGAAACCCTATCCTTCAACTATAACTAAGATTTATTGAACATATTTAAGAAACAGAAAATGTTTGGAGAATATTAACTCTACCTCTTGCCAAAATTTTATGATTAGATAGTTTCGGCAGCCATTTATGTTTAATTAATTCGATAAATAATTATTAAATTACAGTAATAATATGATTTATTATAAAATATTTCGATATATTTTTAACAATTTTATGATAAAGTTAAAAAATATATGGTAATGTGTTACAATTCATATTATTACTGTATTGTTGTAGATCGTTCTTAAAGTATCACTTCAACCAACATATCAGCTCTAAGTATAATTAAATTTAAATACTCCATTTTTATTGTTTATTCTTTATTTTTAATAATATACTCGCTTTCATGACCTTAGCAAATAAAATTAATATTTTTAAAAATATATATATATAGTTAACTATTGCCTAATAATATCGATTAGTATTTTTGTTGACTTTGAGAATTCTATACATTGTAAACATACACAAAAAACGTTTACATTGTCTCTGGTATCCTTATATCGTCATTTAATTATTCTAACTGACTTGGGGTCTATATCATATCATTTGGATTCCTCTTTCACTCATTTACATTAAGAAAGAACATAAAATTTGTTATTATTTTTTTAAAATAATATATAGTTCTACTTCTAGTTTAATAATGTTAACCAGAATATTTTTTTAAATGCCACTTCTTGTAAAATTGGTCGAAGAGCAACGATATGTAAATTGTAATTATTTTTACAAACAGATTTATTAATTTATTTTTCTTAAAATTTTGCTGACCTTCGAAGGGTAAGATGGGGGTAAGGGGGGGGGCGCTTTCAGAGATTTTGAAATTAAGTAACTTATGTGCCAAATAGAGGTTTACCGATATAACTTTTTGGAGGCCGATCTTATATTACCGATCCGATATCATATTTGATTATATATCTAAACATACTAATCCTTTTAATTGAATCTAAAAGTATATAAAAAATTTTTATAGATAAATCACTTATATTTAGTAACATTAATCTTTTTACATAATAAATAATAAACAAATATATTATGAAATTTTAAATAAATTTTTTTAAAATTAAAACACAATTTTATAGGATCGAAAAATTTTATGTTCTCGACCGATAACCGATATTTAAACACCGTGAAATATCGGTACATCTCTACTGCTAAATTTTATAATATTTTAATCTTAAGAGATTTTACAATTTATATGTAAGTCTACTGATGTACTCCTAGGGGTTTTTGAAATATTTTACTCGTAGATTTATAATTTTATAAAGCCCCGTATCGGATCCTCTATACCTTCCAAATTTGAAAAAAAATTAATATAAATATTTGTGTTGAAGAAAAGATACAATTAAAAATTTTGCCGAGTTCTATTCACCAGACGATTGTACATTTAGTCCTATAAAATATCTTTCTAGGTTCTTTTTAAAATAGCTTATCGACATGTTCAATATGTCTAAATCTCTATGATGACTACCAGCTCTTGAGTTGTTTATTTATTAGAGATCTGCAATGGTCCTGGTAACGTCTGAAAAATTTTATTTGAAATGTGTTGGGCAAAAAAAGATGCTCGACGCGCTAATAAAAAAAATTATTCTAAAGCGCCTAATTTTGTTAAAATAATATATTTTATTTTGCATAATTAAATCATTAAATGACCTACTATTATGATATTTCCTTTTCCTATAATTTGTGCTAATTGCTATAATAATAAAATCAGGATATAAATCCTCAGCATTATTGATTATTTTTCCAAAGGATATATTTCTGGATTTTAAAAACCAGACCGGTCTTAGCAAAGGGAACCTCGCCTAGTACAAATTTGAATGGGTCGGGCCTGAAAGTTTTGTCATTTGCAAACCTCTTATATTAGAAAGGTCACTTGTCGTGAATTCTAAAAAAAATTGTTTTATCCTATAAAAATATTAATTAATCGACAATATTTTATTTTATAGAGATATTTTTTATGTATATTTTAAAACAAAATAATGTTATAAAAAAATTTTTTCTAAATCTTTATTAAATATAATGCATTAATTAATATACTATATATATAATGAACCGGTTATTTTAAAAGAACCAACCGGTACCAAAGAGCATGTTATTTTATCGAATTCTTAATTAACAATTTGTAGGAGTATCACAGCCTTTGCTGGTATGTGTCATAAAAATGGCGATAACAAAGAAGACGGAGCCTCAGTAGTATCCAGAGACGACACGACCCAGCATTACTTTGATCTGGTTACTCATTTTTTTAAAATATATTTATCTTTCAAACTCGTTAATAAAACTAAAAATAATAAAACAGCTTATCTATCCTATTTTGGCAGGCTAGTTTTATTATAAGCTTAACTTTTACACTTATAAAAATCGTTTCTACTAGGTTTTCTTCCCAAAAATTAAATTAATTTTATCGATAACCACTTACGGTTAAAAAAAAATCTCTTGTAACATTGTATAAAGTATAAAATAACTCTTTCATCTTTTATATACAATTACAATCCATCAATTTGATTTTTTTTTAATTTAAATTATTAATGTCAACATTTTAAATTAGTTAAATTCGATTCAGAAATTTATTCTAGAAAATAAAACAACTTTTTTATTATCTGTTTTTTTTGTATTATATTTTATAATAATAATATCTATTTACTTTCCTCTTCTCAACCATTTTTTTATAAAATAGGTCATAAACGATAGCTTTATAGGTATGTAAGTAAGTATTATAGGTATACGCCTCTTTTTAGTTTTATTAAAGAGGAAGAATTTTTTTTTATATAAAGTAATGTTTATTTTAATTTACGAATAAAAAATGTTAGAATTATATGAAAAGGTATGGGAATGAGCTAAGGTATATTTTTTGAATTGCGTTTATTAATTAACTTAAATGAATCTTGATTAATTTGCTATATATCATTTTATTTACTCATATAATATTGATTTTAAACTTTACAATTCGATTCAGGTTATTAATTTATAAATGTTTCACTATTTCTTAAACATAGTATACATTAGAATTGTTAAAAACCCCGATTAAGATTATAACCAATATAATATTATGTAAGCCTGAAGATTTTGTTCATAGATGGCTGAAAGGCTTGGACATCTATTTTCCAAATCTCAAGGCTTGAATAATATTATTTCCGCTAATATTTTAACGGGCCCTAAATCGACTTTGGGCTTTTTAACAACACTATTATACATACAGAAAGGCTCATACTGGGATAAAATATAGGGGGTACTTGGCTTTCATTTTTAAAAATTAATCGTATTTTAGTCTACACATACTGTCTCATCAGGACTTCCTCAAGTCGACAACAGGTCATTACCAATACCTATTTAATGATTTAAACTTACCCTTTACTGTGTTATAAAATAGGCGAATTCGATTTTTTAGGGTATGTGTAGAAAAAAATCAGCTTACTTTGATGCGTGAATTGATTTTTTGGGCTTACCTCGTGACTGAATTGATAGTATATAAAATATACCTTTTGTTAAAATCGTCTTAAATCGGACATAAATAAAGGGATTTCGCAACATCAGTCAATTATTAATGTAAGTCACGTTCCCCTACTTTTACCCATTTGCCAAGTTTTATATTAATTTTTTATAAATATAATTTATAATGCATATTATTGATATTGTTTAGCTTCACGAAAATAAATACGACGTTACCCAAACCTTAGAAGTATTGGGTAAAGAGCCCCTGCCTAAAATGTGGGAAAAGGATTGGTCTCACGAGGAAGCCGTAATACATTATAATATCATTAATTATAGATAAAAAATTTATTCGGGGTTATAAATTTTATTTTTTTTGAGAAAATATAATCGATTGGAGGTTAAATACCGGATTCAAGAAATCTGATTATTTATTACATTATTTATCTATCATTTTATGTAATTATAAAAAAATTATACTTTATATTCAATCTCATTTTTTACATCATGTTAGATCAAACCTCCAGTTAAATGTTAATTTTTTGAATGGCAGTTATGATTCTGACTTGGAAATATTAAATTCCAATACAAAAATATTTATGTTTAATTATCTTTAAAAAAGCGCCGTGTATATTATTATTTCTCGTTTTACAATCTAAAAAGATTATGTTGCCAAATCTTCTCTTTAGTGAGGAGGAAGGAATAATAACATGAGATAAAAATTTCCTTATTCAGTTTATAAATTCAATACTTGAAGGTTGTGTTAATTGGTTGTTTTTTAAAACTATATAAAATCTCACTTTATACTTAAAAATTAATTATATTGTAAAATAAATTAAACCAAGCACAAGACAATAACTGTTATTTATTCCTATTGCTCTCTATTTACAATGTAAAATTATAAAAATATTATTGCTTTATTATAATACGTAATATAATATTAAATTATATCGCCCCTAAGGTAAATTATGCATTTTATCTATAATTGATAAGGTTTACAAATAAATTAAAAGTATTTAACATATACTTGCAAAATAATTTTTATTAAATTGTAATGTCAAAAATAATTCCTTGTAAGAAAACCGACAGCAGTTTTTTTTAAATTTTCCAGAAATTTTAGGTGATTCATAATTATTTGTTAATAAGGTCGACATCATTAATTTAGGCACTAATTTTATTTTTAAAAAAACTTTTTAACTTCACTATCATTATCCCCTGAGAAAAGAGGATAGATAATACAAGATTAGATAAAAATAAAAAAAACAATATACAATTATCGAAGTAATATTAAAATGCTTGTTATTGTTAGACCAAAATAATATATATACATTCATAATTGCATGAAATGTAAAATATAATATCCACGAATAGAACAATTTCCCTATAATAAAATATTATATTATCTTTTTCTATATAGTCAACTGCACATGTTAAATGTAAAAATAATAATATATTTCATCGATTATTCTAAATAAAATACGACCCTTATTAGACAACATCTCTTATTTAAGAGGTTCTACCTCTTAAAACCATACTAGCACAAATCCCTAGAATCTATGAATTCACTATGTGATGTTTCGCGTTATAAACGTCCAATCGCCCTCAATCTGTTCCTGTCCCTTATTCGACGTGTCAAATGACTCAACAAACGTTTTATTAAATATGGACCACAATGGTAACACATTACCATAATCGTCTACTCATCCTTCCAGTCTCGATCCTATCCTGGTCACGTCACCCCGGATCTATCTTCACAGCAATCCATCAATCATACAATCTCACGATTATATTCTCGTGTCAGTTTGCCTTCAATTCCTCACTATCGTGAGCATTCTTTGGTGCTCATTTCCTTATACTGGTAATTAGTGTGATCTCGGCCCGAAATTTTTTTTGCCTGCCCGACCCCAATCCAAAAATTTTTTAAAAAAGTTTTGCCGGCCCAGCCCGACTCGTAGTTATTACTTCCACAAAAATTCCGTTTCGCAATCCGTTCATTATTTTTATTTCCATTTTTTTACAATCTCGATTCATTGCCCACTTCTGACCCCTATTTGCCTTACTTTTGCTGAAGCCCTTTTATGTGTCAAAACTTATTTTATTCACATCTTACTGAAAGTGGCACTACCACAGAATCAGTTTGCGAATACGGATAGAAGCATTCGCCGACTTTTTCTAAAGCTATTAAATGAAATGATACCTGAGCTATATATGTGCCAATACATTTATCTTCTAAAATAAGTCTTCGTTATATATCTGATATACCAAAATTAGGTCACTTGTCCAGAATAGTCAGTCTTATAGAAACAATATTATTTATTAATCACGTTAAGGGACATTGAGATAAGAACTAGGATATACGTGACCTGTAATGTAGTATCTAGATACAAGGTAAGTATAGTCACTATTGAGACGTTGTATTGTTTAGGGAATGGAATATGCCTCCTATCGGGCCCTAATGCGCGAGTTGAGAGGATAATAACAAGATTGGTTTTAAAAGTTAAGATAGGAAACGAATGAAAGCAAATAAAACAATCTTGCATTTTTGCAATAGCATGAATGATATTAATTTGCTAGAAAAATAAAAGAGTTAATAAAACTCGAAGATGCCAGATTTAAGCAAGATGCCATTTTGGTGAAAATATATCTGGACCATCATTGGCTAGAGGTATATTCTGTAAGGTGAAAGATGAATATCTGATGGTGGCCGAGGTCAATAATCATTCTAAGCAATTAGAATATATGTATAAGTAAGGAAGAGTTTTCGGAAAGGGGACGAAGGTTTAATTAATTCCTATATAGAATAAATAATTAATCATTAGGAAAACATTGATGTCACTCTAACTCAGGCTAATATTAAAGAAAGTGGTTTACATTGGTTTTGTCGTGAAGAAAGGAGAGGATATATTAGAAAATAAATAGCGAGACTAGAAAAGGACTCCCCCTCCCCTCGACGGATGTGATAATCTGACTTTTGCAGAGCTAAACCTAATGGAGGACATGGTTAATGACAAAAAAGCATGGAGGACTAAAATTAAGAGTCTTGAAAGAAATCTGACCATTCATATGAATGATATTAGATCGTTGTTATTTGGGTTATTATATATGTGATTCTAGGATATATTATTAGTGTTATACGATACGATATTTTGGTCGCTATGAAGATATGAATGGATTTAGTCGGCAACATCGATTTAGACACTGGGAGGGTGAATAGAAATACATTGAACCTTCGTTATGAGGCGCGGAAGCGGGTGTGCATTAAGACATATACTGTTGAAAGATTCACGAATCAAGTAGTAAAAATTTGGAAGTCAATATGGTGATTTTTAACCACCGTATTTGCAAATGCGCTAAAATAATTTGATATTTGCCTTCCTACATGTAATGGAAGAGTCAAAATAGTTAACAAACTCCTATTTTCTTAAGAATAAAATAAAATAATTATGGTGGACAATAAATTACGATGGAAGCAGGAAAGTGATATTTTAAATTTATAATTGATTTGACGATTATACAATAATCATATAAAAAAAATTAATGTTTAGAAATGTTTTACGAGAGCTATCAAAATTATTGGTAAAGAATTTCACAGGGTTCGCGATGAATATTTGAAGCACAAGAAAACGGTACGCTTTATATTTTATTTTGGCGAATAATTTTAAAATCTCCACTATTTTTACTACATTCTCAGTATTTTTTGTCACTATTTTTTTTTACATTTTTACCAGTATAAAGTTTATATTATTTCAGTATATAAATAATTAATATCGATATAAATTTAAAATTTATCAGTATTTTACTATAAAAAAAATGATATATAAATTTATGTTCAGGAAAAAAATCAGTTTTTTATAACTCATTCATTGAGCATCCTACGTACCATGCTTTTTGCAAATTTCTCATGTCAATACTTAAATGGTTATAGATAGATTACCTTCACGGAACAAAATATTTTAGGGTTTGGTTAATATACGGTTTGACTAAAACTGTAAATTCGTAGGTAAATTGCAACTTCTGAAGATAAAAATATTTATTTTCTTATATAATAAGGTCATTATGTTATTAGATATATTTAATAATAAATTAAAAATATAATCTATAATCTTCAGGGTGGCTTTTTATCTTATTTTACAAATAAAATTATACCACAATCTAATATTTTGCATTTTATTGTAATTATCTATAATAATATAAAAACCGTGTCACACGTAATAGCCATTGCTTATTAACAGAATTTAGAATCAATCGCCTCAAATCTAAGAACCAGAAAATCCTTTTTTTAAATTTTAGTAACCAGAATTGAAAGTATCTTTTTTAAAAATATTCTGAAATAGAACTCTTTTAGTTTGGGTTCCAAATCTGACTAAATCATATTTTACTTCTATGAATAAATTTTTTATTTCAAAACATAAAAAAACAGAAAGATTTGATACAGTTTTACTACTTTTGGAAAAAGAGCCCCTACAATCCTAGCCGGAATCAAAGGAGAAATCGAAAAAGCCGCAGAACTATAAATAATTCCATTCTCAATAATAACTCTTGTAAGAGTGTAGGCCTTAATGGAGCATCCAGAATTAGGAATCTTAATATGCCCATCAATGAAGTATCCTCCCTCATCATATCGAATAGATTAAACGACCATACCATCGGTTATTATTGCCTATATTATAATAATGAATTGTTTGGTAATAACATTTTTTTTCAAGTTGGATGAATCAGCTTAAAAAAAGGAAATCCAATCTAATGAAAAAAAATATGTCAAAGTTATTTGAGGGTATTATAACCCCCTTTAAGTAGAAAGCTATTTTGAGTCATTAGGTCTGGTTTACCCAAAAATATCTTTAACCTACCTTAAAAATTCACTATAAAATATATAAAGGTAAACTGCTTTACTTCTTAGTTAATGTAAACACTTGAAATTTTTCCCCCTCCAATCTTATATATTTATATTATATGATTGTTTATAATACACAAAGGAAAAATAATATTATAATTTAAGGTACACATCTCAGCGCTAACGAACAAAATGACCCTTCATCTTCGTTTATAGTAAAATCTTATATTATTCTATTTATTTGTTTTTGCATGATAAATCAGTTACAATTCCTTTTTAAATAATTAATTATCTGTTATTATTTTTCATGTTTCGCAAAGAATAAATTCAGGGACCTGAGACAAAGGCATTTTTGCGTTCCTATTCTGTTCCCATTCTGGCTTAAAATATGTTCTGTCTCTGAAAAAATATATAATTTTAGTTCTATTTGAGTAATATACAAATTTTTATTGGTATTTATAATATAATATAATATAGATCAATTATTACATCTATCTATATTTATGTGGTGTTGTTAATATAAATGTGATTGTCGAAAAACACCAAAACACCTTTCAACACTAACTTTAAAGCTTAATTATCTATTGAAATTAAAAAAAAAATTTTTTTTTTAAATCAAGTATTTTATTTAAATACTATTAATATAAATAAAAAAAAGAATGGCTAGAAAAAGAAAGAAATAAATAATTAAGTGTTCACCTGGCGTAAATTAGATCTTTCGTTTGGATTCCAGTATATATAGTTATTTTTCCGGGGTTTTTATTAATTTGAAAGGCCCTTCCTCAAAGATTTCCAAGGTATTTTTGAATTTGGGCATGAAATTATAGGCTGGAGTATTTGTTTTTTTAATGGCATGGGCCAGAGCAAAATTATTTGATTTAGCTGAGAAATCAATACAAGTACAGTTTAGAAAAGGCAGTTAGACTAAGGTATTAAGGTAATGCCATCTGGTCTTTTTTTTAGCTATTATTATGGAGACCTACTGCCTCGGGAGTAGATGGTAATTTAGCCTTTTTGAAACCTTGTCATATATTAAAGTTGTTTGCTTCGTGGCAGGGTTGAGAATATTTTCATTTTATTAGGTGGTTGCCCTTATTGTCGATATTTTACCACAGTAAATGCAATTAGATGTTGTAGCTGGATTACCGCTTAGACGTATTGCTATAGAGATTCTATGTTGTTCTGTCGAAGAGCTGAATATTGCCTAAGCCATTCATAACCAATTATAGCTTTAAATATTATTGATGAATTGACATCATGGTGACCATTTATAAAGAGGTAATCAACGAAACGGACAATAAGGGGAGTCCACTCCTTTTGTGTATGGAAGGTTGGTTTGATATTAAATGGTGACAGTTTTTGTCCGAGATTATGAGGGCTAGAATTAAGTCGTTATCTGGAATGAGCAGTTGGAGATTGAGGAATTAATAAAAGTAAAGATTAAATAAATGAAGGCTGATATAGAAAGGCACAACGGTAAGCTGATACCAATCTCGCCAAATTATCCGATAAAAATACATGATTATTGAGTTTTAAAGATGAATTTATTATTATAGTTCGAGTATTCAGTGTACTTTGATAGCAAAACTGTTAAAATTATTTAAAATTTGTTATATAAAATGTATTTAATAGTAAATAATGGGTAATAATATTGTTATAATATTATTATAATAAAAACTTGCATGGGATTCTGGAATCTCCGTCCCTTCCTTGTTCCATAATTTTCCCCAGGTTCTGTTCCATGTCCTGATCTACACTCTACTTTTTCTCCAAAAAAGTAACTCTTATTTAAAAAAATTCCTATGTTTCTTTTTACAGCTAATATATTATCTGATTTATATAGTTAAATGCTCAAAGTTGTTCTCCCATAGCTCAATCACCACGGGAACCTAAAACTGCCAATAAAGATTCTTATGACTCACATGGTTTGTCAAAACTTCTTAACCCTAAATAAAACATGATATTTTACATTTTAAATTAAACATTATATTCAGGGCTGCTTCAATGAGTATTTTCATTCTTATCCTATGTTATTAAGTCTTTTAGGGCTCTATGTCCATTTTTTTTAAACTATAAAGTCATGGCCTGGTCCCTTATATTTAGGAAAATATTACAGTACCCAATCATCCATGCATATATTTTTAAAAAAATAATTTATATTTACATTTACATAAGATTACGACGATATTGACCTAACAGTAAACATATTAAATAACTAATAAAAAGACATTATTTGTTTCTTTTTTTTAAGATCAATCCCACATTTTCGATAATGATGACATACCTCTCGTAAATTTGGTAAAGGTAGCTAGAGGGATCACCATCCCCAACAACCACACTGTAAACATCAACACATCGCCATCACATGATATAAATAACTCGTCATCGACAAATAACGTTGTAAAACTTGTCATTCACGATGAAAATAATTCCGGCAACGTGGTTACATATTCTAAATCGGAGCCTTTCGGAATAGCAATAGAAAACCTATTAAACTCGAACCAAATCGATAAAAATATCATTGATGAGGATCAAATCGCGATACACGATTTGAACAAACTGACACTGATAGACGACCAAACCTTAGAACTAAAAACTGATAAATCTGTGGAAGAAGAATTAGACTTGGATAACAATATTGGGTGTATCGAAATGAAAGAGATAGAAGATGAAAAAAAGACTGCTGATACCATCGAAGGCGTAACGATCTTGATGAATGATCAAGTCTATTTTCTTTTAAATAAAATAATTATTAATTAAGGCTGGAGAAAAAACAAATTACACCTTTGATTATTGAATCCATTTTTTGATTTTTAATGCTAAAAATAATTATTTTTGTTGTGTATTCAAAGCAAATATTCAAATTTTTTATTTGTTACCATTCCTGTTACGCGTCCGATATCTTTACATAATTTTTCCCAAGTTCCTTGGTTTAAATTTGTTTAAAATCTTCTGCTCAAATAACTTGATATTTAACATGTTTAAATAATAGGATAATGTTTTCGCTTCTCAACCAACTCTAAATAATCCTACCTGTCAAAATATTACGTCCAATGCAACAAATTTACCCATTGATTACCTGCCATTACCATCACACATCGATTACTTACCATTACCAAACATCAATTCTATTCCCCAAGATGATAATGAAGATGATAAATCAGAGTAATAATAAATTTAATGTAATTTTAGGTTGTCTAAGTAATGGAAGTATTGTAATTATAAGATGCATATTGTTTTTTAAATATGATTTTCTTAAATTTCATATGCATTTTATAAATTACCCGCTAGCAACAGTATTATAAATACTTATCAATACCTCCCAAGCGATAACTCCGTAATCTCATACGCCAGTTCTTCTCAACTCACTTATAAAAAAGACGATAAAACACCAAGTGAAACGACAGAAAAGGTCCCCAATGGTTTAACCATTGTCGAAGAGAATGAAGACACAGATGAACAACCTTACATTACATCCAAGACTTATACCAATGGCAGGTTTCGTATTATATTTTATTTCCATCTCCTTTTTATCCCTATTTTAGACAAAATTTTACATTATACTAATTAATTGCGTTAAAACATTTAAAACATTTATTTTAGCATTAAAATAACAATTTACAAGTGGTTTAATAAAATAATGTTTTGACTTTAAATTATATGTTATATTTTTAAAAAAAATATTATCATTTTATTTTAATATGTATAAAATGAAATAATACTGATACAACAGATTTTGTCGAGTTATTGAAAAGAAATCAAATGGTGAGTCTTGTGCTAGATGTGACCTGGTGTTTTTACTAAATTCACAAAACTTCGAAAAAATTGCCTTACAAAATCAAAAGGTAAAATACATTTAACGTTATATCAAAGACCTTCAGAACGGACCGAATAACGATATAATTTTTAAAATCCTAGCCTGGCCTATTTAAAAAAAAAAATTTCAATTATATCAATTAATCATTTGAAAAATCATACAATGGAACGTTTGATATTAATTTACTGCTGTTTTCAATTTTTCCTCGAAATGATTTGTAAAATTATATTAAAAATTCCGGAGCAGACCGAAAAATAAAACTCAGGATTGGGCGAAAAGTTTTTTTTAATCCCGGGCCTGATCCTAAAATTCGACCTCTGCAAGTCTGCGTTATATTATAATTTTAAAAAATTATTTTTCCCTCCTAATTTTTATATATCATTAAATTTAAAGTTTTTTTTAAAGAAATTGAGAATTGCATATTACTTAAATTTATCTCTAACAATGTGCAACTAATGATGAACCACCAATTAAAATTAAGCTCAATTTCTATTTAAGAAATGAGCGAATGAAACTATAGAACAGATTACTGAATGCATAGTGTTAGTAAAATTTTCATTTCATTACTCTTTTAATAATATTAACCACATTATTACATCAAAATTCTAATTTTTATGAATCCATTTCCAGTCATCATTAAAACATTTTATTTGGGTTTTTTTAAATATAAAGAGACTTGGAGAGCACCCTCCAGGATAATATTTTAAACTAACTTATGCTATGAAATTTTTTTTGATCCATAATTGAAAAAGTGCATTACGTTGGCAGCACTGAAAACCCTCTATTATTAAATTTTTATGAAATTTATTTTTTGATGCATTTATGAGTTTATCAGAAGTATCTTCTCTATCATATACTATAAAAGCTCTTATTTTAGTAAGCAATCGAAACGTGAAATATAATGTTTTTTGTCTCCTCTTGAACAATAGAAAAATACATATGACGGTTTACAATTTAGCCGACGATATACAATTTTTAGTATATTTTTATTTTATTAATAACCCTCTGAGAACGTTGATACAAACCCTAGTTTAAAAAAACTTACTTAATTCCAAGTATTACGGTCTTGATTTTTCATATTCACCCACTAATGCTCTCTCGTTACTTCTATAACGAATGTTCTCAAGGGTTAAAAACATGCAAAAACTGAAATATATAAATGGCTTTTAAAATTTATTAAACAGGCCCGCATTTCTCATAGAGCTTCAAATAGTACGTTAAATATTCACGATCAGGTAACAACAATGCAAAACACTTATAGTATTGTTAAATAGTCGAGTTTTCCAGACTCGTAGTCGAAGTCGCAACAACTCGATTCAAGAGTCTATTAGTCCGACTTATTTTTACGACTTGATTTCTGAACTTGAGAGACGTGAACTTAATCAAGTCGAGACTCGATCGAGTTTTGAACTTGAATCGGCTTGAATTCTGAATTCAAGTCAAATTATTGTTTTTGTTGGCTGCCAAAAAATATTTAATTAAAATTATTTAAACCAATAATAATAAATATCATATTTTAAAAAATTTACAAATATGACCCTCATAGAAATGATCAAAAAGTTATCTCATTACTACATTGGCGTATTTTAATTCCAAAATTTTTAAAAATTTTTTACCTTGAGAAGTCGTCACAGACTAACCTAAACCAACAGAAATTTTTTATCGATTTGCACAAATTTCCCGCATCGTAATAATTTAATTTTAAAAATTACATACATTTGTTTGAAAATATTTTCAAAACTTTGGCCCCGTCCTGAAAAATATTTTGCAAAGATTGCTCGTCCGAGCTGTGAATTATTTTGGCCAACTAATACTTATTGTATTATTAAATAAAATTTTCCTCTTTTTTAATCTTATGAAAAATAAAATATTTACAATATTTCTTCGTAAACTGCATTTTTGGTTTCCGTTCTAAAATCGCCTATAAATTTTAAAGTAGATATGTAATTAATATTGACCTTTATTTATAATGGTTCAGTATATATATATAAATTCATAATGGTTACAGTTCTTAAGAAAAAATTTATATAAATTCGGTTGAGCTAATTTTAAAGGTTTATCGCGGTTATGAGAAAAATTATTAAATTATTTTTATTGAAACAATACTATCGTATATGATTTTAATTATGAATATTATTTATTAAAATTTTTATCATCACTTAAGTTAATATATTGATTAGATGAAATTAATTTATTTTTAATACAAATATATCTATGAATAATATATAAAAAATTTATAAGAATCTTAATCTGTCTACAAATTTATTAAATCCATTTTGACCCTGATCATTAGATTTGGGAAGCTGTAATTTTTTTTTATCGGATTCACGTTCTTTAGAATGATATCTCTCCAAATTAGCTCTCTGGTCACTTTTAAATATGATTATATTATAGGCTTATTCACTGGTGCGGACCATTTAGATTTTTTTCTAAAGGAAAATAAAATAAATTTTTATATATTATCAACATAATAATAAAAGAATATGAAATCAGAGCAAACAAATATTGTAAAATTATGATATTGATATAATATAAATTCACCATCAATTTGTAAAGCCATATTATTCGTTTAAGGCATCTAGGAAATAATATAAAAAAGCAAATTTCAACAACTTTGCAAATACTTGCATTTTAAGGCAATACAAAATGTATTTTTCATAATAAAGGCTATAACAATACAATGCCAAAATTCTATAAATAATATTTAAAATTAAAAATAGATTTGGTCATGTTGAAATTTATATGGGAATAATGGCCTTTCTATCAAACTAATTATGGGTAGGTATTGATATTAATTATTCATGAATTTATCTTAAATAAATGCTACTAAATCAAAATTCTACAAATTGGTTATTTAGATATTTTGCATTAAAATAGGGAAAATAGTTATATGCCTCAAATACTATAAGAAGTAGTTAAAAGGTTATAGCTATTTTTAGTCATAATGAAAAAATTAATACATACTTATTTATGGATATTATACCAATATTTTGATAATTTAAATTATAAAATGGATTGATACCTTGAAACGGCGCGAAAAATGGATTGATACCTTAAAACGGCGCGAATATCGTATAATATATAAGAATACCACAAGAAAAAGAATTTAAACGAAAAATGTGTGAAATTATTTATTGTTTAGCATCATTTATAAAATTTTTTTTACTCTAGCAAACAATAATTATATCGGTTCAGACATTTTTAAAGGTGTATAACTGTTCAGCGATTCACTCTGAGTCCCTGGTTATAATATGTTATATACCCATATAAAAAGAAATATCTTTTGCAAATTTTGTATGAGGCTTAGAAATACTTATATTCTTTTTAAAAAATTGGATATAAAACTAGTTTTCTATACTATAATAATATTAGTTTGGTAATTTTTAATAATATATTAGCCACGAAAAATAATAATTTGATGTGAATCCAAGACTCAAGTTCAGAACTCGAGTCAAGTTGTGGCTTGAATCGTAAAAACTAGTCGACTATTCGACTTAAAACTCGACTTGAATCAAGCCGATGCGATGTGTCGCTTAACACTACATCTATAATATATAAGATACAATTATTAAATATAATATTTATGACATCTATAAAGAAGAATAGTGTTGTAAACAGCTCGATTTGAAACAATTTTTAAAAATGGCTAACTCAATATTTTATCTGGAAAAATATTATGCAAATCTGAAGATTTTGGTCATTGATGGTATAAAGGTTTGGACAAAGCTTAAGCAATATTTAAATATTGAGTTAGCCCTTTGTAAATTTCGGCTCAAATCGAGTCGTTTATCAACACTAAAGGGGAAAATAAATTAAAGTGTTAAATAAAAATATTTGTTCTAATGTAAATAATTTAGATGTTTATAAATTGTATGACGGGTTCTTATCATGGGATTATGAATATTGCGAGTTCTTTTTAAATTGGTTTTTTATAAAAAGATTGTAATAAAATTTTTTACTGTTATTGTTTAATATACTTACAGAATTCGGTTGAGCAAAAATGTTTATCTCAAATAAATCGAAATAATGTTTCTCTATGTCCATGCAGTGCCTGCAATTTTTCAGATCCCGTCAATCATAATTATAACCCTTTGAATTCCCCCGCTCCTTCTCAATTATACGCTCCTCATTTACCATCGCGAACATCACTCTTTGATAGCTCTCGAGGAGTATCGAACAATTTAATTAACAGTAAATTATTATTTTTTAAGTATGAATTTTTATGATTATATTTAAGACTTTTTTTAAAAACTTATTTATAGAAAATAAAATTGTTAAATTATATATTCCATTCCATTCCAAACTAAAAATTTAATAATTACATATAAAACGAAGATGAAGTAAAAAAACAAAAACCATTATAAGTTATTCGATAGATACCTAGTGGTAATACTAAAACTTCTTTCCATTAGTATTTTAGATGTTTTAATTATATCATATAAGAGTTTGGATCCAGATTCTGTAACTATCTTTTAAAATTTATCGGAATCAGAACCCTATTTTGAAATTTTCCGGAACCGTTTTAACAAAAGGGCAAGTAATTTATATATCTATTAGTTTAAATTTTTACGTTTTATTTTTTGATTACTTTAAATGAGTTCAGGACTAGAACCTAGAACCCTTCGATCCGCGTCAAATTCAAAAACCGGGAGGCGAACTTACTTTTTAAAATTTTGGGAACCAGGAACACTTTTTTCAAACTTTTATATATTGTCAAATATATTAAATTCTCTTTTTTACCAGACATTTCTAAATATAATGTCAGACTTTTTTATACTTAGATGAGGCACTTCTTAGTTCAATGCAATTGTTTTAATCGAAAATTTTTACACATTCAGGTTGAGGTCTGCAACGGGCAAGTTTTTAGCCCGCACTCAATCACGGGCATGCTATTAAAATAATTTAAATGTTGGGCGGATGAGCGCACGTCTTAAGAATATTTTTGACGATGGCCGAGCTAATTTTAAATATTTTTCGGGCGAGGAGAGGACTTATGTTTATTTATTTTTTTAAATTTTATTTCATAATATTGCACATTTTATAAGTTAAAAAAAATACGCTATAAATTATATAAAGAATCAAACCAGTCATAAAATAATTTTAAACATTGGACAGGTGGGTGTAGTGTTGTTAAACGGTTCGTTTTGAGCTAATTCTTAAAAACGGCTAACTCATTATTTCATCCAGAAAAATATTACGCAAGCCTGAAGATCTTGCTCATAGAAGGAACAAAGTTTTAGAGATATATTATCGAAATCTCGAGGCTTAGTCAATATTTTTCTGGTTAAAATATTGAGTTAGCCGTTTTAAAAAATCGACTCTAAACAAGCCGTTTAACAACACTAGGTGGGTGGATTAAATAAATGGGCGGGTGGACGATTAAAAAAGAACCAGGGCGGATAGGTGACGGGTTAAAATAATATATCATATGGGCGGGCAGGCGTTCAGCTTGAGACTTATCTCATTGCACACCTCTAACTTGAGCTCCCTGGCCCCAGTTATAATATAAATCAATATTTTAAACTTTTTTTTAGAAAAATAACATTTAAACTTTATTTTTTAGAAAAAATAACATTTTATTTTTTATATGATAGTGCCGCCTCTTAATCGTGCCCCGAATTCTTGCCGTGCTACCCCACTTATGGACAATACTATCCTCAACAACTCTCTCGGTAATATGCCTTTCGAAGCATCTTTCGCTAATCATCCCATGTTTATGACTCCTTTCGTGGCCGCTATGTTAGCCATGGCCAGAGCCCATCATTTGCCGCCTCTCCCTTTTCAGACGCCCAATCACACATCTTCTTCAAATGGTAGCTTTTTTTTGCAAATATTCTTTTTTTAATTAAATCTTTTATAATTTGCGATAAAATAAATAATTATAATTTACAATTTTTCAAAAAAATATTAACTATGACAAAGGCCTATCATCAAAATCAAATTTTCAACAAGACGAAAATAACAGGAGCGAGCCTGGATTCGATCCTCTTTTAGATTTACAATCGCCGTTTATTGACCCACGATGTTACTTTTTACCACCACCAAATTTAGATCCAAATAATATGGCCCATTGGTCCCCTCATCCATATTTCGAGTTTCAATAATAGATACTATGAATTCAACGACAAATCAGCAATAGTTTTTTGCCTGACGCTCTTAAATTTTTTTAAACATTTGTTTATTAATAGTACTTATGGTAACTAAAAAAAATCGATTTCATCCTTACCCTGGGGCCTGAATTAGTATTGTTAAACGGCTCGTTTTGACGGCTAACTTAATACTTCATCCTGACAAATATTACCCAAGCCTGAACATTTTGCTCATAGAAGGAACAAAGATCCAGACATATATTGTCTAAATCTCGAGGATTAGACATATTTATCTGGCTAAAATATTGAGTTAGCCGTTTTTAAAAATCAGCTTAAAACGAGCCGATTAATAACACTAGCCTGAATATAGGCACCTAGTGCAAATTTTTGAAATTTGGAAATCTGGAAGTTTTTGACCTAGCCTATTCATTCATATATCATTTATTCACTTAATAATCGCTCTTTAATTAGTATTTCAATTGACAAAAAAATTTTAAGGACAAATACCTAAAATAAATGATTACTACTTTTTTTTGTCTCTGATTTTTTTATATAAGTAGTTTCTTAGATCAAGATATATGTATCAATTAGAATGGAGATTTTGTAAGTTTCTATGTTATGATTATGTAAAGATATAAAAATAGCTCGATTTCACTCTTACTACAATATTTTATTCTAAATAATTTAAATTTTTTTAGTTAAAATCTTTAAATTTGATATGATGATTCATTACTCATCTGCAGTCAGTTGCATTATTTATCAATTTTTTTCAATTCTCAAATAATGATTCATTAAAAAATAACATAAATATTTTTTAAGTACATCTTAGGCATGGCCATTACCCAGTAGGCCGTATCATCAAGATAAAAATATTAACACAACCAGACCCGTGACTTCTAAAATAATAAGTTTTATTTTCCATTCTACCTTTCTTCCTGATATAATATCTTAATTAAAACAATAATTAAAAAACAAGAAAGATTTTCAAAAACTGGATTTGAACCAAATGTATTAAATCGTAAGATATAAAATTCTTTAATTATTTTTACATCCTAATAGAAAACTGGTTTAAATTAAATCCGTTTCATTCAATTTACTAAAATGTTTCATAATAATTTTCATATTTAATTATAAGAATTATTTTAAAAAAATCATTTGTTAATAATAAATTTAATTTTTAATCCTAAAATAAATTCTTTATTTTATTGATATATTTTTTTTAAATATTCATTGAGTGCCTTATCCATTTTATGGATATTAGCTTGTTTAAACCTTCTCAGTTTTTGATTTATTAGACAAACATTTATTTTAATCGACTATTATTTAACATGTATACTATTTTTAAAACTATAAAAATAAATATTATATCAATTGATAAAAATTCAACTATAAACGATAAAATATAGGGGCCCACTATTTTTTAGCTATTCTTATTTATATATATCAGAGACCAGCAAGCACGGGTACACGGACCGGGTCTAAAATTTTCTTTTTAAAAGATGCCCTATCCGGGCCGTATATTTTAAAACCGAATATTTTAATTACCATTAGCTGTAAAAAATTTAAAAGAAATATATTTTTCTTAGTTACGTTACTATTATTACTTAAATTTTAAAAATATCTTAATGGGTCTGGCCGAAAATCGTTTTATTTTTTTGTCATGGAATTCACTATTTTTTTTCAACATTGAAAAGAGCACTTCAATAATTAAACTCAAATATTTATTATATTTAATAAAATATACGTTAAAATATCTAACACTACTATTTTCCAATAATTTTAAAATATTTTACTATTTAATATTTAAGTTACAATATGGATGGATATTTACCTCATCCCTATTTACCACAACCTCATCTTCCCAACGATATGTTTCCTAATATTAACACTCGCCCTGCGGATGAAAGTTTGCCTTTTTTTAGATGAAACATATTTTCTATCATTTAATAAATGAGAGCTCTTTGTTTCAATTGAGTGTTAATATATATATATATATATATGACTATATTAAAAATATTCGTTTTTGTTTTGAACAATTTTTTTGAATATTCATTTAAAAAGTTAGTTACCTGAATATTAAATAAATAATAATTGTTATTTTTTGAAGGAAATTATTTATTTTAATTCACTGGTAAAAATATATTCAAATTAACAAACAGAAAAACATATACGTGCTCAAAATCGGACTACTCCTGAATTTCCGTCTTTTGTTATTCGATCGGAAAGCGTCATAAAACCCTCCACCCTACCCGCGAAAGGGATCACACCTAATACCAATCAAAAACGAAAATTGGAAAGTTATACTGGATCAACTATATCCTTTCCTCACAACGTTCCTTTTTTGCACCACGAGGAAAAGGGTTGCGTTAAATCAGCCCATAATAAAGCGGTACGCTTTAAGAAAAATTAAAACTGTACAGGGCCGAGAATTTCTTGACCTGTTTTTTTTAAAATATATATAACCTATTTATTTTAAAAATAGATTTATAAATTTAAAAAGGTATATTCTTTTATTTATAGCACAAAAATAATCTCTCGGAGAATTAAACATTAAATACTATACATTAATTATGCTTGTTCTAAGATATACTAAAAAATTAAAATATATTTTTTATTGAATTAAATTTACCGGTAACGAACCTGGTCCAGTATTTTAACAAGATTTAGTATTTGGTACTGGTGCCTGTTATATCTGGGACATCTCCAAAAAATATAGTTAAAATTATTAAAAGACACAGAAGGAATATTTATATACTGCATTTGATTTTAAAATATTTTGCACGTTATAATTATCTTTTCGAAATGTTCTTACGAACGCATCTTTTACTAATCATCAGTTAAAGACTTGTTAAAAATGTGTAACTGTTTTTTACTTATACAGTAACTCTTTTAATAAATATATTACTATTATTAAATTAAGTGCTGAGAAGTAAAGTCTAAATAAGTGAAGGCATTATGCGTTATTTTATAATGTTTGCAATACTAATTAAAACTATATTTATTTATCATATTTCCTAGATCATTTTATCCAAAACGGACAAACCTTTTAACTCCCTATCTATTCACGACCAACCCATTTCTCTATCCAACCGATACCTATCGTCAAGTCAACAACATACGATTAATCCTTCTCATAAAATCACACCAAACCCAGTTTTACCCATTTCACTAACTCAGTCCTCCGCATCTCTAGCCCCTAAACCTCATCGCAAATCTAATCACCCCCCACTAAATCCCTCATCGTACATTGGTAGCCAAAATAGCCATCTATCCAATAATGCCCCTAACGGCCAAATAGGCGGCTTAGATTTTCCCATGTTAGATAACTATATGTTGCCTCCTAATTTTCATCAAGGACAACTGTTATCTCATCCATTTTACGATCCATATGCTATGTATCATCAATTTCAGCCGCCTCAATCATCCATGAGACATTTGAATGACATGATTAGCATGCCACCGCCCATCGATTATTACTTCCATCATACAGGTCCCCCGATTCAAAGCTACAAGCCATAGCATATCAAGATGTAATCGACTTCGTATTATGACTTTGTTTATTCTTAGATTGGCTTTAACCTCACTTCGGCATTGCAAATGCTGTTAGTAAAGAATTGTGAACAATAATTTCCATAGACGGTATTACTTTTCCATTAGAAAAGCTTAGTTAATTTATGAGTTTTAAATAATCATTTATCACAAAAATGGTATAAATTGTAAATAATAATACTGACATTAGCAAAATTAGACACCGACTTTTTCTTTGTCTATAATATTACTATTTTATTTTACCATATTGTAAATGATTATTAGTTAAATATAACACACCACACACGCTGAGGCTATTAATTATATTCTTAATATATTTCGCATTAATTTATATTTAACTGTATTTATGTGATATAATAATTATTTTGTAATATTCATAAAACTATCCCATTTTTTTTAATTACCCTTTATCTTTTCTCGTTTATTTCACAAAAAAAATTGAAGATATTCAGTATAAACAAGGTTTATAGCTTCTTTTTTTTTAAATTCCTGAGCCTCCTTAATATTTGAGCAGAATCAAATCACTTAATGATTTATTTGGTGTAAGGTGTCAATTCTTTTGAGAATTTCATTTATTTTTTTATATTTTGAATTGTAATAAATGTTTCAAAATAAATATAAAAATGCATGATATGTAATAAATAATTTTAATAAAACTTTCTCTTTTTTATCTTTGTTGTTTTGTATATTAAATCGAAATTTCATCGCAGAACCTATAACGATATTATATGTTTTATATTATTATTTCTCAGATAATTTTAAAATTGAGAATGTGCATATGACCCCATTGCGGATTTCATATTATTATTAACAAAAAATATATATTTTATAATAAAATTATGGTGTCATATTAATAAGGAAAATATATTTATTCAAATATAGTAAAGATTCTGGTGTTATCATCAGTCTGAGCCATTATTTTAAAAATTATTTTGGCATTCTACTTCGTAACATTATCCTCAAAATGCATTACGAATGTCATATACTACTCAGGAAAAAAATATTTTTCACTAAAACATTTCCGCAAATGCATTTTCCTGAATATATTACCATGAATATTATACAACCAAACATGCCGAATATATTATCACCAAAACATTGCCGCTAATATAATGTCATGAAAATTACCCCTAATCTATTTCAATCAGGTCAGCAATAAGTATGTGATTATTCTGGGTTATATAAAACAGACCTTATAAGCGGTAATCTCATGATACTATATATTATTATAGATATTAGAAAATATAATCATAAATATGTTTTTATCTTACATTTTTAAAAAGTATCTTAAGAGGAAAATGGCTAGATATTAAAATCTGCGAACCGGAATGTAAAAGCAAATTTCTTCAAGGATCATCTGCTTCAAAATCAACCGGCTTAGCTACGAGGGTTGATGGTTCTAAAATTATTTGCTATCTATTATATTTAGTGAATTAATTAAAATATAGGTCGAGATATTTTAAAATGGTGCACTTCCCCGCTTCAGATATATTCATCGATTCACAATTTTTTTATTTGTATACATTCTAAAACTTCCATAAAAATAATACCTAATTTAAACCAAATATATTTATTTACATGATAAAAATATATTTTAATTTATATAAAAAAATATTAATAATATATTCAAAAATGAAAGTTGCATAACGTCCATTTTAGAACATTTATAAATTAGGTGAATTTATTATGTGATTACTACATTTTCTTTTATAACCGCATTTATTATATCCATTTATTTTGTGAAATCCTAGCATAATTCCAGCGGAATGGAATTCTATAATCTTTAGTTTTATTACAATATTAGTGCAGAATTTTTTAAATTGATTTTTCACATTCCATAGATTCAGTTAGGTTTAAAATTAGGGATAGATGCTATGATGACTAGTAAGAAAGGCCACCTAAGTCACTGACGCGCATCGCCTGGGGTACATGTCTGATCAAATAATATAAAATGTATAAAGAATATGAAGGTTAAGACGTTCTCTTCAAGCGACGTGCATGATGTAGACCTCCATCTTATGAATATTAAGATCAAAACTAGAGATTAAAAATTTTAAAATTGGTTATCTTTAGGATGACTTGATTGGTATCCATGTTGTGCAAAAGTAAGATTGATAAAACATGTATTCAAGAATCGAATGGTAAAGCCAGAAGTCGAATTGAAAATAGTTATAAACCCTATTACAATTATTAAGCAACATGAATAATGTCGGTATTATGCTCGCCCATGATCTAACTTCAACAATAGTAGATTCAAGATAATCTGATAGACTGGTAATAAAACTTTATTGTTCCATCAATATTACACATCTTCTCAATGTATGATCCACAAAGCATCCATGAAAAGGAAGTAAACTTTAGAGATGCCCTAGATCAAGCTCTGATGGAAATTCCCAATTGACATAATGATAATTAGATTTATAATATCCACACCGTAAATTTCAGAGATTGAAAGATATATATATAATTATGGTGTTTTAGAGCCTATATCAATTTAATCCAAACAAAATTGAATAATCCTACAACATCACTATCAGGTGTTCAAAAATTAGCTGATACTTAAAAATTTTATAATTGATGCAGTTCAGCCAATTTCCTTTTTTGATAATCCTTATTTTATTTTTTTTAACATAATATTTAGAATAACTTTCCTACCTTTAAAAGCATTAAATATTATCAATATAATTACATTCATTTGATACTAAGATATCCTACGTACAAGAAGTGAATGGAAAGAATTTTGGATAATTTTCAAGAAATGAAATGGTCTTTAATGTTAGATCTATACAATAGCAGATTGTTGGCTCATGAAAGTGAAATAAGGTGTTTAAATTCTGATCTTTTATTAAATTGATTGGAAAGAGCAAATAAATAGGTATTGATAACGTTGATTAATCTAATACCCAATAATATAGATACATTGGCTAATAAATCGTTTTCAAATCTATAATACTCAAATGAACATTTTGATAACTTTTTAAAAAGTTTAGAAAATTAAATACCACATTGTCCTCAAGTGCCACAATTAAGACGAAACGTATATTTACTGTTCCCCGCTCTATCTAGACTAAGAGATGATAATATAGCTATGATTTTATTATAAATATGCAATAAAATAAATATTGCATATATTTTACATTTTTCATAAAATTTTATATCAATTTTAACATGTTTTAATTTGAAATATTAATTTTATGGACATATATTGAATATATATTTATTATTAGGTAGCGTAAAAAGTAGAGAAAGCTATTTTCCAAAAAAAGTAGTACTTTTTCCAAAAAATAGCGATAGCTATAACGCGCTACTTTTTTGCCAAATAGCGTTATTGGTAGCGCGCTACTTTCAAAAGTAGCATTTGCATTGGATAAGACGCATGTATAATCTCAAATAAGAGATTTGCAAAGGGGATAATGGTCGGATTTTAGGCAATCATCAGTTTAAGATTGCAACATTCTAGAATATTAGGTGTAGCCTTTTTTAACAGGAGGCTAATAATTTATTTATCCAAATCATAGCTACCACTCTAACACCTTTTGCCCTCACATCTTAGCCTTCTTCAAGGACTACATCACATTTCCTCGAGGACCAATAATTCAAACGAAGGTTTTTCTCTTCTTCAGCTACCCATCATTAACATAATTAGGGCAATAATGGATAAATATTTCATTGACTTAAATACCAAATTTTTTTATATTATAAATCCTTTAGTAATTAACCTTTGTATTCTTTAAAAATCATTTCATGTAATGTAACAAAGATTATGTCGTGCTATTTTAAATATAGTTTAGTTCGAGGAATTTTTTTTTCGATAATCAAATTAAGTTCATTTTTTAATGAGTTGGTTAGTAGATAATTAATCTAAACTCTCTCCGCCTAAAAAAATATGTATTTCATAGGTGTATCCAGGATTTTCCTATAAGAGGAGTGGGGGGGGGGGAATGGGGTGTAAAGCTATTAAGCGGGCTTATAGGCAAATTTTATAGGAGATCTTTACGTACACATGTTTTTATAATATTGTTAGGTTTTCACTTATTTTTTTATAAAAATTTTGAATTATGGTAGTTATTTTAAAAGTTATTAACTTTTACTAAAAAATTTAAATGATTATTTATATTGATATATGTATACACTTAGAGGGGGGGGAGTGGGGGGCATGGTTATATAGGGGAAATTTTAATTAACTTAAAATGATATTTACGAGAATAAGGAAATTTGCAATGAGGAATTCCCCCCCCACCTGATTACTCGCCTGATGTATTGCAAGCTTATTAAAAGCGTTCGTAAATAATATGGCCTAAAAATCCGAACCTAAATAAATTATTTTAACTCCTAGACGAGCCTAAAAATATTTTTTAGAGAACTCGGCAGGGCCGGTTTTTTAAATTTCAATTATATAAATAAGTCAGTTGAAAATCATATAATGGTCGTTCAAGATACAATTACTGCTTTACTTATATTTTCAATGTCCCTCTGACATAATTTACAAAATTATTTAAAATAAGAAATTTTAAAAATCTAGGGTAGGTCGGAAAATTATTAAAATTTAAAACGTGCCGGATTTGAAAACAAGATATATTTTTTTTATCCTAGCCCGGTTACATCTATTAATATTTTATAAATATTCCATAAAATTTTATAGTCTAGTTAAGGTTAGAAATAACTCCTATAAATGTTTAAAAAGAATAATATTTTTAATAAATATTGTATTCTAATACAAATATTGTTGTTACTAATTATGGAAACATTTAAAATGTTTTATTTGCGATTATATACATGATAAAAATTAAATAATACAAATAAGTTCAAAGTTAAATAGGAATTAAAGTTTTCACCTAATATTCAATCAATTAGATATAATCCTTCCCATTGGAAGAACAATTTTATTTAAAAGTGAAAATAATCAAAACACAACCTCAATTTATTAACAAATAAAAAATATTTGACATAAATTTAAAAATTTTTTTAATATAAACTAAAATGTTATGGGCGAAAATGATCATATTATTAGGTTGGTACAGTACTACATTATTAATAAGTTAGTATATTATTTGAATAATTATAAATGGATTTAATAAAATATTATAGGTAGTTTAAATGAATCTGGATTTCATAGTCTCCAACGATTAAAGTATTAATATTTTGATTAAGAATATTATATATATTATAAGGGTAAATAACTCCGAAATTCTATCTAAACACTATAAAAACCAGGAAAACTATTATAACAAAAGGGGGATCAGAGAGCTATCTCAATATTTATCTAATACTTCGTCAAAAAGAAATGGCAGAGCCGTTAGGATATATGATTCCCAAAACAATTTCGATAATGTCACATATTTAATAGTCGATAAAAACATGACACGAGAAGAATTTTTAGGATACATGAAAATTATATCAAAGAATCCTGAAAATTATGGAGACCTAGATTTTAATATCTTATACGCCTCTTCCCAAATACCAGACCATGAGAATATTAATACAAATAAATATCCAGATTTAAACTCAAATAAAATCGAGATTGACAAAATTATTCGTGACT